TTTTKKTTTTTTTTTACTTAGATAYAAYAGTCCTGCTGTTACATYCATCCCAGCCTTGAAGGATGGAATTCCCACTAGCTGTTCTAGATTTTTCACAGTACTTTGAGCTTTGTCCATTGGTCCACGTGAGGTCAATATTGTAAGGTCATCATAACCCTGTCACAGACAAGTATGGTAACATTAAGCAGCAGCATTTCTGGTTTTAGACTATGCTGCATACACTCCATTCTGGCTATTGCATTTGCTCAGTACAGTAAATGTCGCAGTGCTCCCTAGGATTTTCCTTCTGACCTGCCAATAAACCCAAGCTGCACAAGCTTGCATGTTCCTGCGAAGACATGGTAAATGAGACAGGAATTACCACCTGCTGTTCTCTTGCACTTCCTAAGGTTACAGCCAGCTGCTGCTATTTCACATCAAATCACACAGGCTTCAGGCCAGAGTGAKCCTGACACTCTTTATGGCTGCTCTGCCTCTCCCCAACACCACCTCCAGCTCTAATTAATCCCTCAGACTGAGTGCCAGTCCTGTGGCTAATTATTGTACCTGCCCTGGGGAACACAGTGTTTGGTATCACCCTGTACAGTGCCATGGACTCTCAGCAGGAGCTCTTTTATATAATCCCTTTTATCATAACTGCTGCTTTCTCCAGCAGCAAATCTGCTAACAAAAGCAGTACACCACAACAAGACAAGAATCCAGAAGCTTCTTTTAACTTAGGCAAACATTCAGCAAAGAGTTTTGATTTGAACAGATTATATAATGATGCAGACTTTGTATCAAAATAATAAAAATGTAGTGTGCAAGATCTAGCATAAACAGATCACTCTAAAAGCATTATTTCCTATAATGACCTCTGTATTCACAGTGAATTCTACCTGACACTGCATTCAAACTGAATAAAACTGAAAAAAGCCAACACTTCTCCACTTAAATCCTATTATTAAATGAACTTTCAGCGAGGCAAATGTCATTTCTACACAACTCAAGTATKTGTTCTGATGAGTGATCACCATCTGACCTACATAAAATATCCTTCCTGAAGGCAAACCTGCTACTGTCACTGAAAGTGTTAGTACACATCCAGTTAACTGCAAGATGGCCCAGCCCATAACCAAGCTGGCCCTCAAGAAACAGGTCTGTCCTGCCTTATGTTTGTCTTTGAATTTTATACCTGTTGTAGTCAT